GTTGGCGGGGGGGTGGGGGGCGGGGGTGGGGGCGTGGGGCTCGGGCCCCAGCGGCCTCGGGAAGCGACCGCAGAAGCCGACCAGGGACTCAGCAGGGGGCCCGGCTGACCTCATCCTATCCCGGCCCGTCCCAGAACCTTTCCAAGGCCAAGGTGTTTTCTGCCTGAAACCGCCTTGTAGGTTCGAATGCGCTTAGTCCATCTCTTAATAGCGCGGAACTGCGCTGGATTATGGCCAGAACCTGGATTCAGCGGTATCTGCGAGCGTTTAGGGGTATTCAGAGGGGCGATTAATAGATCCTGCTAGCTGTCGTTGAACAGTCAGTATTAATGAGGAGTGTGGCTGCAGCCAAAACTATACTAGGCACCCTGGGACACCAGATGAATTGGGAAGACAGGCGGTTTATCACATAGAGGCTAATAAGGCCAGTAGCTCAGGAGTCCACCTGCCTGACTTGAACCTGCCTCTACTACTTAATATCTGTGGACTCCCAGGCAGTTTCTTTCTACATGTTCCTTCCTTGGCTCATCTCTAAAACTGGGTAACGATCAAAAGTTACAAGTTAGAGTGTGACATATAACTTTGGCACTGCAGAGTGCACTCAGTAAACATTAGATTTATTACTTTAAATATTTGAGCAAGTCCCTGATCCTCCAAGCTCACTGTCTGGTTCCCATGTGGTTTTATTTAGACAGCTATTCCAGCAAGTCCTGGAATGGCCACTTCCCAGTTCCGGGAACAGGCAGTCAGTGTTTCTCCTAGTTGAGCAATTTGAGATACATGGTTAGTGCAAGTGTCACCTGCTTAGTGTGAAGTATCAGGAGATTCAGGGTCCCCTTGTTCTTCCTGGAGCTTTCTTAACAACGGAACTTTCGCTTAATACCACCCTGGCGAGTATGACAATTGTAGGGCTTTGAACACTGAACAAACACAAGGAAATGAAAAATAAATGAAAAGGGAAGTGAGTGGGTTTCTGCAGTTGGATAGAAGTGTCACATGAAACAGCTGAGTCACAGATTAGCCAGCCTTCACATCTGTAAGGTAACTGTCCTTTCTGACTGAAGGGAGTGAAGTAATACTGTACACAACTATTGAATCAGCAAGCACCAATTAAGTGCCTTGTCCTGACAGGCCATGCTCTGGCCTTTGAGAGCTTAGACAGGAAACCTGTAAAAACTGTTCCCTGTTCACCTCTCCATCCTCTGGTCCAGTGATCTCTCTCTCCTTCTGTGCTCTGTGACCCACAGATTTTTATTCCTTTGAATGAGCCAAGCTCCCTCCCTCCAGCCTCAGGACTGCTACCTACACAGTTCCCCCTGCCTCTAATGCCTCACCCCATCCAAATACACACCTCCATAGCCTAGTTGATTTTGGCTCTCAGATCTGACTTTCTGACAACCCCACTACACTATCTAAATTAGTGCCTCCATAACTCTTTTTATAGAACCATTATTTTTATTCATAGCGCTAGTATTTGTAATAATATATTAATTGTCTGCCATTTTGTTCTAGTGATTGCTATAGTGCCTTACATGCTCTATGCCTTCAAGCAATATTCCTTGAAAAGAGGCACAAACTTTATAGTGAGTGACTATTTACAGACATATTTATATATGTATATGTGCATTTATATATGTGTACATGAGTGTGTATACTCTACTGCATTTTCTTTAATAGTGCTAAATTTTAAAAACCAAAGCACTGTAGTTAAGCAGTGCTAACTATTGTGTTTTACATTTTTCAAATTTTGAAAATACTAAGTACTTACAAAAAAACCCTTGCCTGGCCTAGTAAAAAACAAATAGCCAGCAGTAAATTTGAAATTCCTGTTCTCTGCCTTACATAAGAAAGACACCATAAAGATAGTCTCTTAACAAATTTCACTGAAAATTGGCAATTTGGGATAATGTCTTGTTTTTTGTTTTGTTTTTTTTCCAGTGAATCAAGGACATGACTGCAAAGGAAATGAATCGTGAATCATTCATATGAGCTAGTTACTGAGCTGTATGACATTAAGTAACCATTAACCTCTCTGGCCTTAGTTTCCTCGTTTTTAAGGAGGAAAGGAAACAACACAAATTTGTGAGGGAGCTCTCAGTTGTCAGGAAAAGCTTTTCAGGAGTAATAAAGCAACCAAACCAAACTAGGATAGCTGACATAAAGATTAGTTTATGTGTCTTTGGTCTCTTTGGTTTAGTTGCTAGTTTTGCACAACACTTGACCACCTCTCTCTCAGTTGGTCCCAGCTGATGAAATGCCTATGTTGTTCTTCAAGGTTCACTATGAAATGCTATCCCAATGTGGTTCTGAGCATATTTGTTTTGATTTCTTGAATCTAAAATACAGAAGTGGTATTTTATAGGCAGAGTCTCTCTTATCAGGTTCCTTGCACTGATGATGGCCTCAGCCACCCCACTTCGGTCCCCTGTCTTGGACATACGTGTATACTCAAATCCTCACCAAACATCTTGGCCACCTATTTGTGTGAACCAATCTGTTTTGCTCTGCTTGTGTTTTACCAAAACCACAGTTCAACAGATGAAGTGCTTTTGACCTTAGGTGTTAACCTTTCTAAATGCATAAAATTTACCTACAAACATAAGCTGAACAACATGGAAATTGCTTGATTTGTGACTTACCTCAGCAAGGGTTGGGTTCTCCGCTAGCTCTGTCTAATTCCTCCCCTTCCCCTAGTCTAGTATCTCATTTTCATTTATTCATAGGAAGTTAGGGATATAGAATTCTGGGATTGTGTTTAGAGCAGTAAAGTTTTGTTAAAATAATTAAGGACACATATCTCCATCTTGGGACTCTGAGAAAAATGTTAACTGGTTTGGTTTTTGGCAGTTGAGAAGTAAAATTGGATAAGTAATCCAAATCTAGTTTATGCCTAGTTCATAGGCTTAGTAGTTTCAGGATCTTTCAGAATTAGGGATGTTTCCCCTTTGGGTTGCAGTTTATACTTTAGTATTTTTGATGAAATAAGATAGAAATTTCAGGACCCCAAGAGATGGGTCAAAGGGTTTCCTGTAATATGAATTGTGGAGCCACAACTGGATATCATGTGCACTATTTCCCCTTCTCCCGGGTGGTAGAGGTTTATGATTATCTGGTATCCCATAGCACCAATAGAATAGGTCTTAATGGTGTCTGATAGAATAAATTTAACAGATACATGCTTATGTGTGTAGTATATGATGCCTTAATTTCCTCAGAAGCTCTCATTTAACAAGTTAGGATAAGTGTGTAGTAATCAGATTATAATTTGGAATTCTGTATTTGTCCTGAAGTAATTATGATTCCAGTGGTACAATGTATAATATGACTTCATTAGAGTTCTTTTTCTTTTAGTACAGGATAAATATGATTTTCTTGCAAGTCTTGCTGTGATTTGTTTCTTACTAGGAGTAGTGGAAGACATTATTTAAAAGTTATCATATTAAATTAATTAACTAATAAATTAATTCATCCAGGACACACAGCCCGATCATTCCCAAAACTGAGTGATGTTATGTCTTGTAATAGAACCATTAAGTTTGAGAAAACCAAAACATCCTTAAAACAGCAAAGGAGAGTGGACAGGGATGAACATGGGGGATGTCTTTAGTCCACAAGTGCATTATTCTGCCTGGCACACATACAGGTTCAGCTGTCACTTCACATTTTGCACCAGAGCTTATGATGTAACATTTTTCATGCTTGAGATATTAGGAACTTGTGAAAATTCTAAAACCTACAGGAAAATGAGGACCCAGATTATACTGCAGTAGTTTTGCCAACAGGTACTCATCCTCACAAAACTATAGTTTAAGACTCAAAATAATGTGACCAAGTAGGAAGGAAAGAGTAAATATGAACAAATGAGCTCTGTTTGAGTCTGTTTCACTTCCTTTCCTTCGATTTCTGTGCAAGGAGAGAATTATCTCTGGCTTCATGAAAAGTAAATACTCATATTCATAGTTGGTACTCATTCTGCAAGGACTTGGGACCTTATTGCTCCATTGCTTAAGAGCCTCCACCTGTTCCTAATGTGATGCATAGCACTCGTGTATGAATTCCCTCTCTTTCTAGCACATTCTTTATTTCTGACTGGCACTGAATTTCCCAGGCTGAAACAACTAAATGCTAAGAAAAAATATACTTTAAATTAAAACTAAATTTTTTTCCATCTCAGATGTATAGACTTGCCCTCCAGAACTATGGAATTTTTTTGCCAATTCAGTGATTTGTTCACAAAAATAAATTGTTTAATTCTAAAAATTAGACCTCCAGGTATTATTTAGGATTTTTCCTTGAACTGAGTGCCCTTCTGACATTTTAGGCAAGGCAGGAATGACTGAAACAGTAGTCCCTTAAAATTGCTAAGTTGATTGAAGGGCCATATAACATTTTTTTTAAAAAAACGAATCATATTATGAAGTGATCCTATGAGAAACAGTAGTTAAGTAAAACCTTGAGCTGTTTAGTCCAGTTTGTTAACTAAGGGATACTACGCATTTCTACTCCAGAAATGGAGTAGTTTTTAAATGTTTTATGTATGTTAGGGTATTGAAGATAATGGGTATGAATTTTAATATACAGTCTTTGATCATAGAACTGCATGTTGACAAAAGTAATCATGGTCTATTGTATATAAGAATGTAGTTCCTTTCTTAGTTGTCCTTCATATGATAGAACATAAAACACAATAATGGCCTTTGAAAACTTTTGGTATGCTTTTGTTTCATGTGTTTATTAGCTTATTGTTCACCTTCTTGAATAATTGCAGAAAAACATAAATTTTAATCTTTTTGTTCTTTTGTCCTGAGGAGGTCCATAGCACTTGGTTTCTGACCAGTTAATGCTAACAGGGTAGTATTGTTCTAAGAAAATCCAGGAAGTCAAATCTGTAACAAAAAACATATTTTTAAATTTATTCCAGGGCCAAGAAAACCCATTACTGAACTCCTTGAGTATATATAATTAAGAGGTGACTATAATTGGAATATTCTTAAAAGTTTTACTATATTATTAAATTTTATGCTTATAACAGGCAATGATAAATCGATAACTTAGAAAAGGAGAAGAGAGATATGGTTTCTTCTTGGGAACACTGGATTTTAGTTAAGGATATGGAAGGATCAGTTGACTTTTATTTACCATTTAGGATAACACAGTAGAAGGAGCTCGTAAAGGGGCAGCAAAAACTGGAGAGGGCTTGGGAAGGGTAGAGCCAATTCATATTAGTGTGTGGGTCCCAGATAAAACAACTGAGTAGCAAGTTTTTGCCTAATGTGTTAATTGTAATTAACAGGCAGATAGGGGTTGGGATTTAAAGTGGAAAGATAGGAAAAGTAGTGACTGGATAATTGTGGGAAAGACTAGGATGGGATCAAGGCAGTAGAAGGCAGAAGTATTGAGTATAATGTTTTTTCATCATTATTTTTCTGTAGAAATAAGCAAGACAAAGTTTCAGTTGGATTATCATGGTGTTACAGCTACTATAACCCCTGAGTATATGTTTTTAGGCTAAAATCATGTATTGATACACAAACAGGGGGTCAGGCCTTCTCAAATTTGTTGCTGAAGCTGGGCAGAACATGTCCTCAGGACCTGGAATTTCCAGAGATATTTACAGCAGTGTGACCTGATAGCTAACCTTTTTCCTTCTCCTGCTGGACCACGCCTGCAGCCCAGCCCTACAGCTGGATGCTGGATTGCATGCTCCCTGTAGCTTGTGTAGGTTGGAAGGCTCCAGTTTTTAACTGGAGGGCCTTGGGTTCACAGTGTTTCTTTCTGCCTCATTGAACCCTCTCTTCCCAAGATTTTTAGAAATTGTTCACCATCCTGGACTGACCTACAACTTGTAAAATCCTACTCAGAAACATAGCAGCAGGGAATACAGTCAAGACTGAAGGGTTTAAATGACCAGATTCTGGAAGACTAGATGAATAGAGGAATATCTCATGTGAATATAGTTTCAGAGTATCTTGTTTCAACTGTCATATTTGAATTATATATTTATATCAGGTCTTCTTTTTCAGAACTGTTTAAATCATGGACAAACAAAGTAAGTAATTTAAGTGCTTACTTTCCACCTATAATGTTAAATCTCTTGTTAATGTGTTACTTGTCATAATGTTCTGTTCAGTTTCTGAAAGGATATAATTTGCTTTGTGTTGTTTATGTTCCAGAATCCTAAGTCTGGGCCAGTGTTTTGGCTATAGAGAAGATGTACACAAATATCCATGACCACTAAGTTTTCCTTTAAAAATAAAAAAGCCTTAGATAAACCTAAGAAATTTTAGGCTTACTGGGAAATATGTTGTATAATTTATATTACGTTTCATCTGAATCAAGTTTTCCTTCTCTTTGTGCATTTTATATACAAAAACATTGTTCCCATCATATTGTTTAACAAACAATGACTTTAATATGCCAGGACATTGTAATAAAATGCTCAGATACACCCCCAATATATATCTCATAAAATACACATGTGAATAGGTTTAAATAAATACAAATCTTTATTTTATGGCTTTTTTTTCCCAAGAAAATTCTAAATAAGATGAGTATTAACCAAACATGTAACAAAAGACTTTATCTTTTAAAAAATCCAAGTTTCTGAAGAGAAAAAAAAACCTATGGGAAAAATAGGGAAAACAAAATCCTGTTTTCTGAAGGATCTCTATTCTCTATGTTTGTTTAGATAGCTAAAGAGATGTTTATCTCTACCACAATGCCAGCCTTGCTACATATACTAGATACTCTTTAGGACCAGAAACCTTGACTTTCCTTCACGAAGTTTCATGATTTTTCTTAATGCTTGCTATACTAATTTAATTTTATTAACAATACTTACTTTACTTTTTAAATGTAAATCTATATAGTATTAAGCTATTTTCTTTGCTACAAAAATAGGATGCTTCAAATCACTTTAAAAAAATCATTGGGTCATGGTGACAATTACCTTTTAACTCTTCAGCTTCCTATATACAAATGCATGTGTTTGTATGTATATGTGTGCATAAATTGAAATAGAATGTATGTATGTATATAAATATATATAGAGAGAGAAATAACAATAACTTGTTGACAATATGAAAGTCCTGTGATTTTTGTAAGTTATTGTAAGTTGCATTTCACAAATGCAGAAATCCATCCATAATTCATATGCTCTCTGATCTACTTGAGCACTTGCCCATGCATTTATTTTCTCTTTGTATAAATTCCCCTGGAATTCCTGAAACCAGGATCATTGCTCTGGTACCCAAACCCCAGGGATTATGAGCTCCTAATTTCTTGAATATGTCAACTCCTTGATATGTGTGTGTATTTACTCTTGTTTAAACAGTGGTACCTGTTAAGAGGTGCCAAAATGTGACATATCATTTAAGGATGGGTCTTTAGGTCTTTCAAGACCCATGATACATACAGGAAATGTGTCAGATTGAAAGTTTGGTCAACTTTTTCTTCTACACCGTTGCCATGTCCCCATTATTCAAAAATAAACTATTTTGAATTTACAGTTAATAAGCCATAGGGAAGAGACGAGAATATGGTGTAAGTGTAGTGTCCACTAGACCATAAATTGCATAAAGGCAGAGCCAGTGTAGCTGGAGAGCCTAACTGAGGGTGACACAGGAGATGCTAGTACTAAATATTTATTTTCTGGCCAGGGCAGTTGCTAAAGGAATGATTAGAGAAGCACAAATATGAAGAACTAGGAAACTGAACCATTTGTACATACATATTAAAGATTATTCAAACTACATTGATTAGCAGATAACAAAAGTTAATATGTTTATTTATTGTAACTAAGTCAGTTATGATTTTTGTAGTTCAAAATCAGTCAAATACTGGGAATTTCCTATAGTTCAAACTTAATGGGGTAGTTCCAGAGTAAGCATAAAAAGGATATTTAAATACTGAATTGCATGTATTATTTTAAATATTTAAAACATAATTCTTATAGCAACAATTATAGATATCTTTAAAATCACCTATTATCCTTCTATTACCAAACCCACATCCAACTGGGTTCATTTATCTCCTTCTTCACAGTCTATGTAGTTGTTTTTTTGTTTTTTCTAACATTTTTATTGGAGTATAATTGCTTTACAATGGTGCGTTAGTTTCTGCTTTATAACAAATTGAATCAGTTATACATATACATATGTCCCCATATCTTTTCCCTCTTGCGTCTCCCTCCCTCCCACCCTCCCTATCCCTGAGAAAACCATAATTCAAAAAGAGTCTATGTAGTTTTGAAACAATCTATTTTTCCTAGTAAGAACAAAATCAGTGTATGGGAGAGAACACTCATCAGGCATATTTGAAAACTAGAAATTCAGCCCCAGTAATTAGCTGCCTATTTTATCAGAAGGGAATTTGTTTGAAACAGGATTCTACTGCAGATTAACTCTGATAACGGGCATAGTTTTGTTAAGTGAAGAATTCACTTTGTTTCAGTACAACACAGCAGCATATAAATGAAATTATCTAAGAACAATGCATTTTTTTCTGATATGTATTTTTTTAAGAAGATATATGTTTACCTCTCCTTGAATTGCAGATGTGCAAATGAATGATCCTCACCCAGGAACACAGTTGCCAGGTGGGTATCCCCCTGAATATCCTCTGGCAGCTTTCCCAGGTAAAACACTGGCTTAAAGAATAAAAAAACAAAATTTATGAGTTATTGATATTACCCAAAGGGTGTGTGTGTGTCTGTCTGTCTGTCTGTCTGTCTCTGTGTGTATTTTAGTAGTGTCTTTTACTAAAAGTTCAATAATGAAATTTGTAGCCTAGTTCTGGATTTTTTTCTTTGACTATATGTTATCATAAATATCATTAAAATATATTTTATTTATACAGAATAGTAAAAGTGTTGTGTTAATAAAAACAGTAATGAATTGACATTTAGCAAATAAGATATAAGGTTGCACATAAATTAAATCCCAAAATACACATATTAAGTAACAGATTTTATCAATTCTCCATTCGTTCTGAAAATTATGGTCATGCAGTCACATTTAGGAGATTTATCTCTGGGTGTTTTTGAGTCATTTATTATCTGGGGTTAATTATGTTAAGTGATTGTCATGCAAAAGAGATGACTGCTTAAGCCTGGAAGCTTCAAGCAATAGAAACATAGCTACCTGGGATAATTCTCATTTTTATTTTGTAACATACAAAAATGTGAAAGCTTTGCTTTTATATACATGCTCAGTCATGCCTTGCCTTTCTAAGAAAAGTAACTGAGTCATATCGCTACATACCAAGTAATATATTATTTCTTTTGAACCACTGCATTAGAAGACTTCAGAAATTTTCATTTAGACAAATGCAGTTATCAACATTACCAGAACTTGGGCTTCCCTGGTGGCTCAGTGGTTACGAATCCTCCGGCCAATGCAGGGGACATGGGTTCAGGCCCTGGTCCAGGAAGGTCCCACATGCCGCGGAGCAACTAAGCCTGTCACACCTACTGAGCCTGCACTCTAGAGCCCGCGAGCCACAACTGCTGAGCCCGTGTGCCACAACTACTGAAGCCCGTGCGCCTAGAGCCTGTGCTTCACAACAAGAGAAGCCACCACAGTGAGAAGCCCGCACACCGCAACAGAGTGTGGCCCCCGCTCTCCGCAACTAGAGGAAAGCCCGCGCGCAGCAGCAAAGACCCAATGCAGCCAGAATTAAAATAAAATAAAATAAAAAACGTTACCAGAACTTTACCAAGTGGCAGAGTTCATGGTGCACCTACATTTGCAAGTAGGCCGGCTACCCACATCTTGAGAGACCATCCTGAGGACTTAGGATCAAAAGGAGTCTTGTTTGGTCAGAAGGGTGTATGCATTTTTTTATTCTACTCTGAGCAAACAAATCTGTTTAGGAGCTGAATGGCTTGTTTAGTTGTCTAGCCAGAAACCTCTCAGTGGAGCCTGGATCTCATCCAGATGTTTGCATTTAAACGAATGCGAGGTAGAAAGACTCCCAAGGCTCTGAGATGATAGTTCTCAAAGGTGCCTATACTTAAGTATTACTTGTAAACTGAAAACACTAGTACCAGGGCACTATCCCAGGAAAACTGAAACAGAAGCTCTGGTTGTGGGACCCAGGATTGGTAATTTTTTAATTTTGCAGGTGATTCTAATGTGCAGCCAGGGCTGAGAACTGCTGCTCTCAATTTTTAAATGGTTGGTGTTTGAAGAATTATTAGCAAGTCTATAGTATGCACCCAAGGCACTTGGAGGATATTTTAATCCACCCATGGCTAAATAATAGTAGGCGATACATAATTAAGTTATAATCAGACTTGAGAGTTTGTGAGAAAAATAGCTCAAATTTATTTCTCAAGTCGAAGGCAAGTATAGCACAGGTCTTTTATGACGGTGATGCTAACAATAGTAATAGATTAAAACTGAGAGTTTATTGTGCCTAATGTGAATTAACTCATTTAATTCTCAGACAATATTATGGGGTAAATACTATTAATTATCCCCATTATGCAAGTGGGAAAACCGGCATAGAGAGGCTTGATCAGGCTTCAAGTTCTGGCTTCTGTACTTAATAGTTTTGTTGTGGTTTTAAGCAAGTTGCTGTACCTCCAAGCCTCAGTTCTTATCTATAAAATGGGCATAATATTTTCTAATTCAGGCATTTTGGAGATTAAATGAGAGTATGTGTAAAGCAACTAGCACAATGCTTTACAATTAATAAATGACAAATATTTGCTAACTATTATATTAATAATATATTAAATCAATTGGGCTTTAGGTAAATGAAATATTACCTAAATTTCAGGTAGTTCTATATGCTTAATCCATTGATTTGGGAAATAATTATCCTCTCTAAGAATCTCGTGAAGGTTTAATAATGCTAACAATGTAACCAATTAATTCACATCTCCCCTCACTGGCTTGCCTGTGGTTTCATCTTTGCACTGTAGTCAGTGATGTTTAAAAATAGTTATCTGTTAATATTACAGACAGTACCCAACGGGTACATCATTGGCTTCCTTTTGCTTTCAGGATAAAGACCAAAATGCTTAGTTTGGTCCACCAAACCCAAGGGGCTCCCCTGCCTTCTCCTTATCTGTCTCTTAAGACTGTCTCTCCCGTTCAGGTAGACTGGCCTTTTTGCAGATTTTTAAATGCCCTGTGTTTGTTACTATCTCAGGGCTTCTTTCTGAAACATTTATTCCCTGCTGCCCACCTACTCAACTCCTTTGTATCCCTCAGATCTCAGCTGAGGGTGGTCCTCAGGGAGGCTGTCCCAACTCCCTCCCTCTGTCTCTCCCCATCTAAACACCTTCCTTTGGCACATAAAACCCTGGTCCCTTCATTTAAAGCGCCTGTCTCTGATTTTAGTTAATCACTTACTGACACTGGTGTTGTAGATCCCTAGAGTAAGGGTGAGTGTAAAATTCTCTCTCCCATTAGGCAATGAGGGCAGGGGTTGCATGTGCATTTCCCATTTTAAATCCCAGTGCTTGGTACTCCTAAAAACTTTGCAAGATATCACACAGATCATGGAACTCAGTCTTCTGTTTAAAATCCCTAAAGCCTGTCAATCACACTTGGAATAATATCCACACTCCTTATTAAGGGGCTCTCAAGATGAATTGATCCTATTTCTTTACTGTTCTTCCTCTCCCTTATAATGTCCCTCTCTTTCTCAAACATGTCAGATTTAATCCTAAAGTCAGAGATTTTGTATTTGGTATTCCTGCCTCCTGGAATATTTCTTACCATATCTTCACACACACTTTTTCCCTTCTCAACTTTTAGGTGTCAACCATAAACTTTATCTATCTAAAGTAATTGGTTGATACCTTGCCCTTTTCCCCATGTATTTTCTCCATCAGGTCAATCTGAAATCTTTTTTTAAAATTTATTTTCTGTCTCCTAGAAGTTGCCTCTAAGCTCCCTGAGAGCAGGTTGCCTTGTTGATAGCTGTATCCTCTGATTCTATCCTCTGATTCTAGACCCAATCACATTATAGATCATCTGTAAATATTTATTCATTTAATAGGGAATAAGTTATAAAACTATACTTAAAAGACATTGCTATGAGGTTTAGTCTGTCTTCTGAGTCTTACTTTTTATTGGTGTATGTATTTTGTCATCAGTATTCCACTTAAAAGTATTTACAATTTTCCTGCTCTAAGTGTTAAATTTTGCATAGCCTTAACTGTTAAAATATTGTGGGACACAGTTCTTTGCAACTACATCCTCCATTCCTGCGGAACAGTTACTCTGCAGACTATTCATTTAAGTTATAAAGTTATGAAGCTTCATATTTGTAATCACAAATTCATGTGGAATAGAGTATATACTCATTTCTTCCTCTAATGTGCTTAATAAGTACTGGAGACAATTTTGCCTACTATAAGGTTTTTCCTTGGTTCTCAAACTGTATTTTCCAGAGAGCTTAGGGTGCCAAATTGTGAAATTTACATTTGTAACCTAATATCGTAACTTAACTGGAGGGTTAAGTGGAGTATGTGGAGGGTTTTAGGAATGGAATACACCATGGGTTAAAACTTCAGGCAAATTGTTAACCCAGAGGAGTATCTGGGCAGTACTGGAAGGAATGACATACCCTTACCACTATACTAGGGTTTCTCAACAAAGGCACTACAATATTTCAGGATGGATAATTCTTTTTTTTTTTCAAGGCACTGTTCTGGTCCTTGTAGGATATTTAGCAGCATCCCTGGCTTCTACCCACCAGATGCTTCCCTTCAATTATGACAGCCAGAAGGGTCTCCAGACCTTGCCAAATATGCCATGAGGGGACAAAACCACTATCAGTTCTATACAGATAAGAAATGTCACATGTTGGAATTCTAGAATTATCATTTTTTACAGGGTGGTTTGGTCCTAGAAATGCTGACTCAAAGCCTTTATTCTGGGCTTTCTACTCAATGCCATCCCTCTTTTCCAGGAAGCCATTCCAGAATTTTTATGTACCTGACTCTAGATTGTTGTTGACTTTCTTTCACTTTATTAGATAGATTTCAAGCATATTTTCACCTGAGTTTTGAATGATAAGGGTAAGGCTGTGGGGCAACTCTAAACACAGCCTAAAACCCTCAGAATAGGAGTGGACCTGAAACCACAGGTATTTCACTGAAAAATCACTGAGAGAGAAAAACACAAACCTTAAGCTTCTTAGAAACAGGATTTCTAAGTAGAAATTGTGGTTTGTAGATAGCCGGGGTGATCCTAAAAGAGTTGAAGTTTGCATTTTTCTCTGCAGTTACAAATAATTTCACATGTTCATATTTCAGGACCTCCAGGATATACTGGCTATCCTGGCACCCAGGCTGGCTATCCAGTCCCGCCAGCTGGCTATTCAGGTGCTGGCCCAGTCGGCTTTCCTGTCCCATACCAACCAGTGACTAGTCAGGCAGGCGGGCCTACAGGGGTACCATGGATGCCAGCACCATCACCTCCATTAAACTGTCCACCCGGATTGGAATATTTGAGTCAGGTAATGCAATGCATAAAAGACTCATTAAAAACAAAACTGTGCTTCCAGTTTACTTAATGAGATTAACAACTGACTAATTCACAAAAGTCTGAAATGGTAAAACAACATGTTTTGCTTACAGATTACTCTAATTCTTCTAGGTCAGGTTTACTTTTAAAGCAAAATGAAAATGTCTTAGGAAATTGTATTTTCTATCATCTTGAATATAATCTGCAATAATAGCTAATAGCAAACCTTTATTAAGCTTCCAGGCTTTGTTCCTAAGTATAATTCATGTATTTACTCATTTAAATTCTTTTTTAAAAATTCTGTGATATACAAGTGCTCTAATTATCACCATTTTACAGAAGAAACTGAGGTCCACAGAAGTTACATAATTTGCTTAACATCAAAATGCAGAGGAATTGGGAATGGCTTTTTACTTCTGGAACCTTAGTTCTGGATCCTGCCCTTTAATCCCAATATTGAATAATTTCCTAGGAGCTGGAGAGAACCATCAAACTCGATTTAGTGTTGATTTTCTGTAAGTCGTACCAAGAAAGGAGTTATTGATTTGTGTATAATATGACCTACCTTTCATTATAATTAAGCAAATTACATTTTTTATGTTCTTTTGTTCTTTGAAAGACCTAATTTTACTAATGCTACCAATAAGAAAAAAAAATTCCTGGATTTTAAGGTACTACATGATAGCTTATCTCAGCAATGTGAGATTTAGTATTTGTCTGCCATTAGAAATCTGGTAGGTTAGTTTTCAGTAAATGAATTGTCTCTCTTGCACTCTCTGCACTAATTTAATTTACCACAATGCACTTGGGCAGCCTATAATATAAGAATTTTGCACTGTTGGTGGGAATGTAAATTGATACAGCCATTATGGAGAACAGTATGGAGGTTCCTTAAAAACTAAAAATAGAACTACCATATAACCCAGCAATCCCACTACTGGGCATATACCCTGAGAAAACCATAATTCGAAAAGAGTCATGTACCACAATGTTCATTGCAGCACTATTTACAATAGCCAGGATTTGGAAGCAACCTAAGTGTCCATCAACAGATGAATGGATAAAGAAGATGTGGCACATATATATACAATGGAATATTACTCAGCCATGAAAAGAAACGAAACTGAGTTATTTGTAGTGAGGTGGATGGACCTATAGTCTGTCATACAGAGTGAAGTAAGTCAGAAAGAGAAAAACAAATACCGTATGCTAACACATATATATGGAATCTAAAAAAAATATATATGGTTCTGATGAACCTAGGGGCAGGACAGGATAAAGACGCAGATGTAGAGAATGGACTTGAGAACACGGGGAGGGGGAAGGTTAAACTGGGACGAGGTGAGAGAGTGGCATTGACATATACACACTACCAAATGTAAAATAGCTAGCTAGTGGGAAGCAGCTGCATAGCACAGGGAAATCAGCTCGGTGCTTTGTGTCTACTTAGAGGGGTGGGATAGGGAAGGTGGGAGGGAGACGCAAGAGGGAGCGGATATAGGGATATATGTATACATATGGCTGCTTCACTTTGTTATATAGCAGAAACTAACACACCATTGTAAAGCAATTATACTCCAATAAAGATGTTAAAAAGATAATACTTTTGGTAGTTCCTAAATTCTCTAAGAAATACCCTAAGCAGATTTTTTTTTAATTAGGCCCTTACAAAATATTTGGGGAAGTTATCACCTACTACAAATGATGATATCAAAAGAAAGAAAAAGAAAATGTTTAGATTTGTAGAAAAAAGCTCTTTAAATGGATGAAAAGGTCTTAATATTTCTTAGGCCCTTCTGGAAGGAACATTTTTTTCTAATTTTTATAGGGATTGCAGTGTAAGTCCATTTTGTTTGACTTGAATTTGCCCACATTAATTGTGAACACGTTCAATATATTTTTTTCAGTTAAAAATATATTAACTTTAATTTTATATCTAGAAGTAATATAAACAATTATTAAATATTGATAAATGTTGATAATTGATTACATACATTCTTCTAAAATATAAGAACACTAATGTTAATTTGTTTGGCTTAATAACATATGGTTACAGCTTAATTTTTTTTTATTATAATAGATAGATCAACTATTGATTCATCAGCAAATTGAACTTCTGGAAGGTATGTATTCATTGTATTATATTTCTAGGAAGAGAGGACATTTATGCAGCTAAAGGCATATCACCAACCACAGATATAACACCCTCAGTGATGTTGGATATTAAAACTGGTTATTTACAGATGTCTCTCTTCGTGATAATGAATTGATAAGGATTATCAGCAGCTCATTTCTTGAATTAGGAGCCAAGTGGTAAAATACTATTATGCTGGACATTTCTCCTCATGATACAGACCCTAACTTAGAAGGAAACCAGTCAAAACTTACTGTTGTTCCCCCTTCTCTCTAGAAATCATTTCAGTGATTCTATCACTTTGCCTAACTTCTGTCCCTTCAACTGTTTTTTCCCCAGTTTGTGATGTCCTTGCAGTTGTCACAGAGCCACATGCAATAGTTCAGTTACCTTAGTAAATACATTTCCAAAGCAAGTGAACTCTGAATTTGGATGGATGTGAATGTTTTGGAAAATTGCATTACTGCCCACAGTTTCTCTTGGGAGTTCAGAGGAACCCTATAAAACCCTTTTTTCCACGGGCTGTGGATTATCACCTTGGGCACAGGGACACTGCGCTGGAGGATGTTGACCAGCCGGCCAAGAGGCCTGACTTCCTAGAATGCCACTGGTGCTCCTATGAATGGGGCCTGACTCCTACAGCTCCTACAGCTGTTTCCTTAGGTCCAGTGCTCGTCAGGTGCAAAGTAAACTTAAGAAGCCACTAGATGTTTCAGGACTGCTGCCAGGGGAAAGGGAATCATGCACTACAGTATCCTCCTTATAGGTATAAAGAGTTCAGTGAAAACTCTAATAGATTTTAGAATATATCTATTAACTCTTTCTTCACATCTTTGCAAAGTTGTTTTCCATTGATAGAAATTATAATGTGAACTGTACTACTGTAGAAATACGGTTGATATTTGGTTAGAATATATAATTGTTGCTTATTACACTTAAATTACTTGTAATGTACACTTAGATATTTAGAATGTTCTCATTTTTATTAGTTTGTTTATATTACATTTTCTCTGGAAAGGAACTCTTTATAGTATGATAATTTATATTCTCAACTTTTTTAATGATTCATTTTAGGGAATTTGTTCTTGATATTATAAAAAACAAAAAACCAGACACTATACATTATAGAGCACTCCATTTATAGTTTTAAGATTTATAAGTTTTATGTATATATTTGGAAATATATATATATTAATCATGAAATATAAATTTCAAATTTAGTAGTTATAAATTCTTCAGTTTTTTAAAGAACGATGTCTAATTTTCTTTTCTGTCTCCAACTGAAAGTTTATATTTTAACATTATGAGGAGTATAAAGACATAAAGATTACTCAGTTCATTTTTAGCACCTGAGACTATGACAGGCACTTATACATTTCCCAATTCAAAACTTAATAGACAATAAAGACATAGCCATAGAATTCTCTTGTTTTATTTGTCTTCATTTTTTAAGTAACTAGAAGGAAGCTTAGATTGTGTAAGCCCACTGATCTCATTACACAGATATACAAGCTGAAGAATTTTCAGATTAAGCTACTTAATGAAACAGTTAGGTAATAGATCCCATTTCATGAATCAGTTCAATTTTTTCACATGAAATATTTGACTGGCCGATATTGAGGTAAAGGGTGGTTCTTTTATTTATTTATTTATTTATTTTTATTTGTTTATTTATTTTTGTGGTATGCGGGCCTCTCATTGCTGTGGCCTCTCCCGCTGCGGAGCGCAGGCTCCGGATGCGCAGGCTCCGGACGCGCAGGCTCTGCGGCGATGGTTCACGGGCCCAGCTGCTCCGCAGCATGTGGGATCATCCCGGACCGGGGCACGAACCCGCATCCCCTGCATCGTCAGGCGGACTCTCAACCACTGCGCCACCAGGGAAGCCCAAGGGTGGTTCTTTTAAAGGCAGGGTCAGGGCCTGTCTGAGTCAGAGCAAAGATACTTAAGGGAGGTCATGGTGGTAAAATTTGTGAAGAACATCTCTATCTGACTAAAAGTCCATCCACACCAATATTAGAGAGTGATTTTTGTCTCTATGTTTCTTTTAATTGCTCATTATGTTGGTGGCTTCTAATACCTTACGACCCACGTTAATGAGGGCTATGGACAAGTGGCACCATGAATTGCTCCCTCCTGGCTTTAAGCAAGGAGAGGTTTCCAAAGTGTGGTTCAATGTGGGAAGCCCTTTGGTAAGATACCACATGGGTGTCAGATGTCAGCACATCTCTGTTTCCCCCGTGAAGAGATTAGCCCCTGCTAAGGTACAGAGTTCACTTAAGATGCCAGTGGTCTAGATATCCTCCGACTTGCAGCCTTGGTTGCCAAGCGCCTTTGCCCTTGTCTAATACCCATTTCCCACTTCTGAACAACCTCTGCTGAGCTAAACAAGGGTGCCTTGGGCTGAGGATGACATTCTATCTCACCTTGCATTTTCACTCCCTCCCTCTTCACATGTGTGCATTGAGAGAAAGCCCTCTCACACCTTCCTCACACGGTGCAGAAAGAGAAGCCATGACTGTGGTTTATAAAACTAAATCTCAAGCCAATTTACTTAATATAATACTATACGGTGCATAAACATAGCAGTCTTCCTATATTCCCCTCCATAGCTGAATACATGAACAAGTAGGCATTTTCTGCATTCACTTAAAAGGACTGTCGCCATCGGCAGCACTGCACCATCCCTCACAGCAAAGTCTCCCTTTCTGACATGGGTCTATGGAATTAGGAAGATACGAGTTGTTTTCTCTTCCATGTCTCATACAGGAATTCCTAATTTCTTTGTACTTTAATACCCTCTCATCCATTCCCTTTGCCTTTTTTCTCTGTTTAGATCATCTCTAAACATCTTTCCTTTTCTTCCTCCTGCATTATATGAAGTATCATCTTAAAATGGTATAACTAGATATTGTAGTATCTTAGGATAGACTGATTATTCTTTTAACACAATAGTCATAGTGAATCGCTCTTTTATGTTTTTAGTCTTAACAGGTTTTGAAACTTGTAACAAGTATGAAATTAAGAACAGTCTTGGACAGAGAATTTACTTTGCAGCAGAGGATACTGATTGCTGTACCCGAAATTGCTGTGGGCCTTCTAGGCCTTTTACAATGAGGATTCTTGATAATATGGGTCGAGAAGTCATAACTCTGGAGAGACCACTAAGGTGTACCAGCTGTTGTTTTCCCTGCTGCCTGCAGGAGGTCAGTGAGCAATTACCAGGGTAATTTTTACAAATACTTTGCAAAGTAGTTCTGCAAGAATTTTCACCTTATTGGTGAATTTATATAATCAAATGAGATTTAAAGGAAAAGTGGTCCACCAGCTATTGGTTTATGCTTGAGGGTAAATGGTAGGAAGGAAGGCAGGTGGAAAAGAGTGAGCAGTGTGCCCCCCGGGGGTGAGATCAGGGATCTCAGAGACCAGACTTCTTGGTCTTCAGGGAGAGCTGAGAACGTAGGTCACCTCGGTCAAGTCCCTCACCTGAAATGACCATGAGGGCCTGGCCAAAGCCAGAGCAGGGCCCAATAGAGAATATCCTCGAATGCCATCCCAGAGGCAAGTGGACAGAAGAGTGAGGAAAAGAACACATATGTTCAGTTCAACTCATTATTTTAGCCAACCTACAAGGAGCAAACCTAGGAGAGGCCCCCCTCTGAGAAATCTCAACTCCTGTGTTTTTCAGTTCTCCATTTGAGAAAAACAAGTAATATATTTGAGTCCCTGTAATAGGGGTATGTGAATTGTGAACACCTTCAGCTCCATAATGATCAGGTGTCTCTTTCATAGTACTTGACAGCCCTCTGATAAATAACATGGATCTCAGGGGAGATGCCAGGGCACAGAGTGTTTATAGGAAGTTGGCCTTTGCCTGTATCTCCACTGGCCTGAGACCAGAGCTGCCTGGGTCGCTCAGTCATCCATACGGGTAGCTGTGAGAGCAGGGCACACAAAGATACAAGCACATAGAGATTTGATGTCTAATACTGCTCTTATTTTGAAAGGATAACTGAAGTTGTTCATACTGAATTATTTTGTTTTCCATGTCAATTAGTTTAGATGTAATAATATTCATTGGAATAGCTGAGGGAAAACTGAGTGTGATGGAATATGCTCTATAATTTATAGAGCACATTAGCATACATTATACAACTGGTCTTAATAAAGAGATCTAGGAAGTCCTCAGTTACAGATAAACATGTTGAGATGCTGTCAAGGTCACCCAGCTAATGTTCAGAGCCAAGATTCCAGGCCCCATTTTCTTTCCATGCTAGCACTATTGCCACTCATATTTGAAAACTGCCCCAGTGATCAGGGCTCTGTCCATACACTTAAACCACTGTTTTTAAAGGAATTTGAGGAAATAGCTATTAACAATTTAGACATTTTTTGTAAGTATGGAAATTTTAAAATATACAAGACCAGTAGAGCAGTGCTTCAGAATGGAGACTGCATGCATGCTCCCCGAGTTTGTGTCTCATCTCTTCCACTTTGCAGCTGGGGAATCTGATACAAGTTAATTAACCTCTCTGTTCCTCAGTTACTTCCTGTATAAACAGGGATAATAGTACCAACTTGGTAAGGATGTGGAGTGAGTTAAGTGGTGCTTAGAACAATGTCTGACACTTAGGAAGTATTCAGTAAATGAGAGTTCTTATTAGACATTGTTAATGATTACAGTTTATATATTCTTTTGCTTTTGTAGATAGAAATCCAAGCTCCTCCTGGTGTACCAGTAGGTTATGTTACTCAGACCTGGCACCCATGCCTGCCAAAGTTTACACTTCAAAATGAGAGGAGAGAGGATGTACTAAGACTTACTGGTCCATGTATTGTCTGCAGCTGTTGTGCAGATGTTGATTTTGAGGTAAGAGGTGTGATAATGTTTATGGGTTTTGCTTTCCTAGTATAAGAATAACATAAGCTGGGAGGATGTTACAAATATAGTAAATGAATATGTATGTCCTGATATCTCAAGAGGGTCTCAGTGTCCTTCATATTTATTTATCTTTGGTCAGAGAGATGGTTATTGCTCTGATTAAGCATCAGTGTTGATTGTGCTAAATGGAAAAAAGAGAAGCAGAGATTTGTAGTCAAATAAATATAAACAAAGCATCTAACATTGGTGGTTTTTGTGTAGAGGTACTGTATGTTATCCATTTTAAGTGGAACATTAACCTTGTCATCAAAGTCTGATTGCCAAAGCATATGGTTGCCAGTGCTCTAGGCCCTCTTCAAAATCTCCAACATCTTTGAGTTCCTACAAAAGCCCAATTATGCAAAGAGAATTTTAACAAATATATGATGTACTACCCAATCATGCTTCTCTATGATCTCTCCTTTATCTTTGTATTAAATTCATTCATTAGAAATCACAATATATCTGTGTATTTACTACCTGGAGGAATTGCATCACAGCAGTTTTTCAACAAATGGGGCCCAGACTTATGGCCCAAATTATTTAGTTGCAAATGCTTAAAAGTTGAGAGATTATAAAACTTAATCTTGATACCATGATTCTCTTGTATAAGCATAAAATCTGGTAAGCTGGACAATTTCCACAGAAGGGACAAAAATCTAAAACTGAGTAGGTCTGCCCCCTTATGATAAATAAGTGGGAACTCTGCCACTGCCCCTGACTTGACAAGGTTTTCCACTATCCAGCTTCATTCTTTTATATTATCTGCCTGGCTTTGCTAGTCATATGATTTTTAATTCCTCTGTTATATAAAGATGGATCACTCCTCTCTAATGAGGCAGATAGTCAATTCTAAGAAAAGTACATATGATGTAATTAGAGACTTTATAAAGACTCTTACAAAGAATGCATAGTGTGTGGGGGGGATATAAACTATGTATGTTTAAAGATTTTATAGGTTTATGTATAATAATAGTTCTCTATGTAGGGGTTATCATTCCCATAAAAGATCCAGAGGATTGAAAGGTAATTGTTGTTTCAGGGAATATTAATGGAAGTTTTGCTGACATATATTTTATCTATGTAAAATAAGTAAAAATACTGGTGAAGTAAGTCATATTGGAGTGTGAAACTCTTATATTTAATGATAAGAAAGTTGGAAATCATTCAGCAACCCTTCTCAGTGGATACCTTAAAGCATCTATTATAGGCAATGAACTAACTTCTCTCCTGTGCATCTAGAATGTTGCTAACTAGATAACATCTTTGAGGGACTTGAGAAAATAGTACCTTGAATCACTTTCTATACGCTAGATAATAGAAATTTTGAAAGCAGGAATTATCAGTATGAGGGACCACTATGGAACATGGAGAAGAGTCATCCTAAAGGAAAAAATAATTCAGAGACATTTGTAAGTGTACCCAGTGGTACTGATTCATAGATTTGATGTCAGTGGAGGAAGAAGGAAAATTTAGACATGATTCTAAAGTCTTATTGGTCTGATGTCTGATGTTTAAGAAGCTGAATGATGATGCCATTGACCAGGGTAAGAATCCTGAAGGAGAAACAGTTGATTTGTGGGAAGCTAATGATTTGTTTTTGAGTCATGTTGGTTTTTAGGTGTGTAAGGGGAAATGTTAGAGTTGTTGGCATACAGATGGTAGTTGAAGCCATGAGATTATCCCACGGGTGAGTAGAAGAAGGACAAGTAGACTTTGTAACTCTTAGAGATAATGAGGAAATCTGTCTTATTCCAGGGCTATTAGGAGTAGGAAGAAAATATGCCTACATGAAACTGATATCCCAATCTAGCCCCCTCTGTGATTTTGAGGTCTGAATTTATAACACCAGTATGGGGCTTCCCTGGTGGCGCAGTGGTTGAGACTCCGCCTGCCGATGCAGGGGACACGGGTTCGTGCCCCGGTCCGGGAAGATCCCACATGCCGCGGAGCGGCTGGGCCCGTGAGCCATGGCCACTGGGCCTGCGTGTCCGGAGCCTGTGCTCCGCAGCGGGAGAGGCCACAGCAGTGAGAGGCCCACGTACCGCCAAAAAAAAAACAAAAACAAAAACAAAACAAAACAAAAATTTATAACACCAGTAATGATTCATGAATCTTAAGACACAGAAACTGATCTTGAGTGGTGATACACATGGGAGAATTGAATGCAAAAACATACTAGATGGAGATTGATCACCAAGGTCACCCTCTATCCCTACAGAACAAACCTATCTCCACATGAGCAGATTCAAAAATTAACATACTGTTCTAGGAACTAATCTACCAAAACCAAACCGCATATAATAGAACAGTCTGTAATCAGTCATACAAGAAATACCTAAATAGACATTAAAGAGCCTAACAAAGAAACAAAAAGGGTCACAAGGGGAGGATGAAACAAATAATAAAGGCCAGGAGGATATAAAAACAAGCCAAATAGAACCTCCAAAAATGAGGAACAGTCATAATTAGTAAGTAAATAAAATACCTTTTCAGGACCTATGGATACACTCATATTTTTGAATTATATGATTTTTTTTTAGTATTTTATACTTTATTATGGTATTTTTTATGCTGGGCTCTATGTGCTAATGTACTATTTGGATTTTTGTATTTATATTTATGTTGTGAGATGAACCTATAGATTTCTTTTTAGAATACCTTTATCAATTATTTGTATTAAATTTATAGGTTTATAAATTTAATAGTAATATAATACCAGTTTATTACTTCCAGAAGTTGCAATCATTTTATTATGTAGATTTTCTGTTTTTAAAATATTTTCTAGAATTTAGCTAAAAATTATCTAGTCCTGTTGACTTTTCAGGTGTAGATCCTTATTCACTTTTCTGTTCCTTTCCTTTAAAAAATTATATGTCTACCTCTTACATAAATTTTTGGTGAATTTTTTAATTTCTTCCTTTAGTAATCAAAACGGGGAAGTGTTAATATCTGGTAAGTGTAGTAGTAGGATTATGATGGCTGATTATCTTTTGTATATTTTGTTAAAAATTTTTTTCAAAAATTAAAAATAATTGAATTAAAAAATAAAATGTAAGGTTTTATTACTAGCTTCAAATCCTTACATGACAGCTATGAGCAGATAAAACATGAAGGTGTGCAATAGGGAATTTGTATTAGTTTGTTTTGCCACAAGAGTGTAACAAATAATCCCTAAAGCTCAGTGGCTTAAGAAAACATGCTTATGGGTCTGAAGGTCAACTGATATACCTAGGCTCAGACAGATGGCTCTGATTTAGGCTGCCAGTTGGTCTCAGGTCTGCCCCAGGTATGTTCATCCTGGAGCTTCAGCAACAGCAGCTGCCTGGATCATGCTTTCTAGTGGCTGATCACTGGAGAGCAAGACCAAGGCAAAACCACTCAGCCATGTTTAAGGCCTCTGTTGGTGTCACATCCACTAACACTCCACTGGTCAAACAAGGCACAGGGCCAAGCCTAATTTCAATGTGCAGGAAAGTATACTGGGCTTACAGAGGGAGGGGACTGAAATGACTATTTGATGAACAGTAATCCATGCTATCACAGTTTTTTCATATTAGAAGTTTCAAGTTTTTAAAGAACTTAATCACCCACATCCAAATAAAATGAGTCAACTGTTTCTAATTTGCCCACATTTATGTAGCTGTCCCAACCTAAGCTAGGTCTTCAAAGATTGTTGCCAGCACGTGTGGTACCTTGTGCATATTTGAAAAGGACACTTCTCTTCCTGGTTTGACGCAACTCTGCCTATATATACCCTGGCAAGTGTGGACTACATTCAGCCTCCACATGCCCACTTGGTGGGGTGCATTTCTCTGGCTATAAGCTGTTCAACTCTTTATCATGGCCCTGAGCTTTCCTCAGACAGAACTGTAAAATTAGAAAAACTTTACTTTGGAGCTTTTTTTTTTTCATACACATTTCCTATTTTGTTGTTCATCCTCCTCCTGTTGTCGAGTCGTACCCCAACCTTTGACCTGAGGCATCTCATCAAGTTACTGTTGTTTACTTACCTTCACTCAGAACTGCCAGTCCTCTTTACCAGGCTCTTGGCATTTCATGTTTTCCGGCTGACAGTGGGTGATAATGGGGCCTCCCATCACCTTTAAAACTCTGCCTATATCAACTCTCTGTGCTTGTGTTAAAGCAGAAGTCAGATAGGAGTTTCACTTACTGCCTTCCTGATGGCTTCTAGAAATTTCATCAAAGAAATATTTCCTGCTTAAATTTTATTTTGGCTCAGTTCAACTAACTTATTACTGTATGTCTTAATGGAGAATAGAAAATGTTAAATATTTCAGCTGAACTACTTTCATATTAGTTCTCTGTACCAAAGAAACAGTTTTTTTAAAATGAATCTATAAATGGATATAGGAATCTACATGCATGTAATGAGTGATATAATGTTCATAGTTATGAATGACATATAATTTTAATATAATATTTGTTTTATTTTACTCCTACTTGGAAAGCAGCTTTGTTATTAGTTTTCTAGAATTCTTTGTCTTTTTTTAAATTAGATTAAATCTCTTGATGATAAATATGTGGTTGGGAAGATTTCCAAGCAGTGGACTGGCCTTGTGAGAGAGTTATTTACAGATGTCGATAACTTTGGCATCCAGTTCCCTTTGGACCTTGATGTGAAAATGAAAGCTGTGATGCTCGGCGCATGTTTCCTCATTGTAAGTTTATTCTTGCTAATCTGGGGTATAGATGGTTTCTCTAGGATCATTCTGAAATAATTTGGTATATTTTACATTTTTAAATGATCTTAAATTTGTAGGTTTTATTGAAAGTGGTCCTATTTAATTTTAGCTCTGAAATTCCATTTTCTTCTGCTACTCTGGGTTCACAAATGACTAGCTTCTCTCTGAAGGGTCTGTGCAGTTTCACATTGTAACAAGAGGATCTTATATATTAAGGAGAGGCTCTGGTTTTAGTAAAAAAAAAAAAAAAAAAAATTGGTGCTTTGGAAAAGAGTCTGAATCTTCCAGTGTGTTTAAATGGAGTAAGTCTTAGTGAAACAAAGAGATTTCTGCCTGATTCATTATTAAATTAAACCATCTAATACGGAAGTACAAATTGTAATAAGAATCTACATTTAATCAAGCCTTAGACAGAACTACCAATTAAGAGGAAATATATGAGATACAGCAATGATTTTGAACTTGTCTTCACATTAAATTACCTAGGGAGCTTTTAGTAGTAGGCCATATTCCAGTTTAACTAAATCAGAAGCTCAGAATTTAAAGTTTGTGTAGCTCCTCAGATGATTCCATATACAGTCGATGTCAAGGACTCCTGGGACAGAGCAGTGGTTTTCAACCTTAGCTGCACAGTAGAAACACCTGGGTAGCTTTTGCACTCCCTATGTCAAGACTATGTACCCAGATCTAGTAAACCAAATCCTGAGGTGGATCCAAGCCTTCAAGCTGTTGGAGCTATCATATGATTCCAAAGCAAGCAAGGTTTGGAGTCACTAGATTAATACCTTAAATATTGGCATATGGATGCAATCAGAAAAAAAAAAAAAAAGTAAAAGAACATACAGAAAAAGGATCCAGTTACTTCAACAAATAAATATCAGGAAAATAAAAGGTAAAAATAAAATAAAAAGAGAGAAACATCAGCTTAATGCAGTTTGTAGACCATGTTTGGATACTGATTTAAACAAACCAATATAAAAAGACATTTACAAGACACTCAGGGAAATGTGAACATTGGCAATTTGATGATATTAATGAATTATTAAGGTTTTTAAAAAAATATGATGTTATTGTGGTTATACAAAAACAGTACAGTCCATTTTCTTCAAGGGCACATACTGAAGTATTTCGGTATAAAATGATATGGTATCACAGATTTGCTTTTAAATAATGGGGGTGAGGGAAGAGGGACACAGCAGATGGAGTAATTGGTGAACCAAGCTGGGTGAGTGGTCATTGGGACTTTATTATACTATTCTATCTACTTTGGGACAGGCTCAGTATTTTCTGTATAAACTTTTAAATATAAGCACAGTTCTATTTAAAAACTATGTTTTCAGTAAGTGTTTATTTCACATGAGAAGAAAATTTTAACCTTAATTTGGGGAACTGTTTAACCAAAGGTTTACATACCATAACCAAAGATACGGTGTGTACAGGGTGGAGAGAGTAGTCTGGGGTGTTTGGATAGGTGAGAAATGGGATTGGGGTGGTGGTGGTGCTGTTATTAGGAATTGAATATGGAGTAGATTGGGCAGTCTTCCCAATCTTATAGACCTTGGGAAGATACTGAAAATTGTTTAGTTAACTGGTTAATTTTAAGCTATGTATAAATAAAAGAGTTATAAACCCAAATTTTAGAAAGATAAATCCTGGTGACTGTGTACAAAATGGATTGAAGAGAGGTAAAATTGTAATAGTGCAGTTGCGAGTGAATGGTGATAAAGATTCAATTATTTCTTTGTAAAGAGAAAAAGGAAAATGATAGATGTGAGAGCGGTACAATCCACAGGATCTGACAGAAGTTGTAGGGGAGAGGGTCTGGTTAGAAATTGATGGAGTAAGGCAAGCTGAGGAACACAGTGGACAACAAGTTTGGAAGAGAAATCATAAAACTGGGCCAGAAAATTCTAAGATGTTATTCTAACTCTAAGATGGCTGTCATTCTCCAGAAACAATCTAAAAATTGTACATGGAACTCCAGTCACAACACAAGTTATATTACTAGAGAAGGAGTACAAAAAGTTGAGGAACAAAGATTGAAAGAGGAACATTCTAAGAGGCATGAAAAAAGTGAAATTTAGAGAAATTACCAGAGGATTAATTAAGTTCATACAGGTATCAATAAGTGAATAGAATTACAGGATTTAATTGCCATTAAAATGGAAAGCTGAAGCTATCAACCTTTCCCAGATCTACCTATTAGTTGATTTTTCTTGTTTAGCAGTACGTTATTGTGTTTCATCAGATCCCTTTGCATTTATGCAACTGAGAGCTGATCTCTGTTTTGTTGCTGAAAACCCATTTCCGTATTTTGTTTTTATCTAGGACTTCATGTTTTTTGAAATGACTAGAAGTGAACAGAGAGCAGGAGTGTGGTAATGCATTCATTGACATCTCCTCAGAAAATCTGAAGTCCCTATATCAATTGGAACTATGTAAAAGAAAAACTGGTGGATTTTTCTCTTTATGTAAATGACTTATTATAGCATATGTGAATTACACTGTGATGCCTGAAGCTCCAGATATATGATTTTACTTTTCAAATTAAAGAGTTTATTTTTAATATCACTTGCTTATAAATGTTTTTATACATTTTCTTTTTCATTGTGTATTTTGGAGAAAGGATATAGAAATTTTTACATTTAAACATAACTTCCTATGATTAATTACTTTGAACTACAGTCTCTGCTTTATTTTCAATTTGTATCGCAAAATTAAAGACTTTTTAAAGTAATTTTAATATAAACTTATACCTTATTTTATTAAATCTAGTTACAATTTATTTCATATGTAACAACTGTTATTTTGCAAATACCGTATATTCAAAAGAATTCAAAATGAACATAATTTCAGTGTTTTTTTACAATTATGTTCAAATAATAATATTCATATGTCAAGGGAAAGTAAAATGTATTTTTTGATCAGAAAATCACACTACATTTAACTTCTCCTATAAGCTAATCTGCAACTATAAATAACATTTTCATTTTGACAAGACTATAAATTACCAATTTTTGATAATGATTTTTCGTGAAAAAAGAATGATTCTGTCCCCAAGAAAGACACATTTAAAGACTCACTCACTCTAAAACTGGGATATTGTTATAAGTTTTGAAGTAATTATTTATATATGGAATGGTTAGCTCCTGTTCTGTATTCTGTCATTCATGGAACATAATAGTTTTCAGATCACTCAGGTGTTAATTAAATAGAACATATATATTCTGAGTATAAATGTCTACAATGGTCTGATTATTTTTACCAACAATCAAATAACTAAAATAAAAAATTGCTGATATATTTCTTTGCATATTTGATTTTTGTTTTTAAACAAACTGTGAACAGTCAACTCACATGATATTCTGAACTTTACACATTTACGCCCCCCTTCCCTTTCAAATTTACTTTAAAAGAGCAAAAGCATATGATAATCTTTAGCAAAATATATATCTGTGCTGGAAACTAAGTTTTCTTCCTGTCAGAAAGTTAAAGGAATTTTTATACCCTGTTTCGTAGGGAAAACTGAATCAAGTGAGAGGAGATGTCCAACCCACAATTTACCTCATGGAAAGGAAAAGTGTGTTTAGGAAATAAGAACTTAGGGGAGAGATTCCCTTTCATGCTCAGCAGAACTCCAACACCATCAGCTCCTAATGTAGAGAACACTGGGATGGCAGGAAGCTGCAGAAAAGGTGATGTCCAGACCACCTTTCATTAGCCTAAATAATTCACCAGATGCCAGATTCCTATGATGAGGTGTAACCGAGGCATTCACATTCAGTTTATAGTTGGTACAGACAGCATGCCAGGTAAGGTGAGGTACTTGCACAGCTGGACCCTAGTGGCATTAGTTATGCCACTTAGAGAAGGGAGGGTTTTCCAAGCCTGCTGTCAGGTACCACAACCAACCCAAAATCAGGCTAAGAGACTGACATTATCCCTGTGACAGCTACATCTTGCTTTCACTTTCCCCCTCCTCCCAATCTCCCCTACTCCTATTCCTTCTTTGCATAGTACTCAAGATCTCTGGTTAAGCAAAGTAAAACTGCAACTTATCTGAACAGCTCCTTCTTCAACTATGCAAAGAAGATCTGAGCAGAAACCCACACACTATCAGCAGAATCCATTTAAGTTCAAATACTAGAAAAATGTGCTCTCATTAAATATTTACAAAGAAAAGACTCATCATACATGGAAAATTAGAAATTTAAGTGAGAAAAATACCAGGACTTGAAACAAATGTCTTCATTTGTAATCTCAATGAGATCTGAGGAAATGTTGCATATTTATTTCTGGAACAGGCAGTAGAGAAAAAGGAACATTCTGGGCTTCCCTGGTGGCGCAGTGGTTGAGAGTCCGCCTGCCGATGCAGGGGACACGGGTTCGTGCCCCGGTCCAGGAAGATCCCACATGCCACGAAGCGGCTGGGCCCGTGAGCCATGGCCGCTGAGCCTGCGCGTCCGGAGCCTGTGCTCCGCAATGGGAGAGGCCACAACAGTTAGAGGCCCGCGTAAAAAAAAAAAAAAAAAAAAAAGGGAACATCCTGATGAGGCAAAATTTTAATAAAGTTGAGAAGTATGATAACCACACTTTAAAGTATGACGGTGGCACTGGTATAGTAGATTGATTTAGGTAGAAAAATAACACAAAAAGATAAAAGAGATTTTTAAAAATTCTCCCAGAAGTCAGATAAACACAAAGTATAGAGAGGAAAAGGTGATTCCTGAGGAACAGATACATTCACTTCATGTTATGCACAACAGAAATTCCACAAGCAGAAATTAGATGAGGTCAAGAGAACACTATTTCCAAACAGGCTGCCATCGCTAGGTGAATGGATTTATCACATACCAGACAAAATTAATGAAAATGACCCATTTCTTTGTTACTTTTGAAGAATAATTTCACCATATACAGAATTCTGGGTGGTTGGGTTTTTTCTCTCACTCTAAATAGTTCACTCCACTCTCCTCTTGCTTGCGTGGTTTCCAAACAGAAGTCGGGTATTATCTTTGTTCTTCTATAGGTATGGTGCTTTTTCCTCTGTCTCCTTTCACAATTTTTTTTTATCTTTGATTTTATGTAGCTTGAAAATAATATGCTAGTGTAGGGTTTTTCATTTTTTTCCTGCCTCATGTTTGCTAAGCTTTCTGAACCTGTGGGTAGGTGCCTGACAATATGAGGAAATTCTCAGTCATTATTGTTTCAAACATTTCTTCTGTTTGTTCCTCTCTTTCTCTTCCTTCTGGTATTCACATTACATTTATGTTACACATTTGTATTTGTCCCATAGTCCCTGAATATTTTGTTCTGTTTTTTTTCAGTTTTTGTTCTATTTGCTTTTCAGTTTTGGAGGTTTCTATTGAGACATCCTCCTCAGAGATTCTTCAGCTGTGTCTAGCCTACTAATAAGCTCATCAAAGGCATTCTCCATTTCTGTCACAATGTTTTTTATCTATAGCATTTCCTTTTGGTTCCTTCTTAGGATTTCCATCACTTTGTTACACTGCCCATCTATTTTTGCATGCTATTTTATCCCTTAGAGACCTTAGCATATTAATCACGGTTGTTTTAAATTCCCAGTCTGGTAATTCCAACACCCCTTCCATGTCTATTTCTGATGCCTGTCTCTTCAAATTGTGTGGGTTTTGGGGGGGGCGGTATTTGTTTTTTATTTTTAATTTTTTTATTTTTTTTGCAGTATGTGGGCCTCTCACTGTTGTGGCCTCTCCCGTTGCGGAGCACAGGCTCCAGACGCGCAGGCTCAGCGGTCATGGCTCAGGGGCCTCGCCGCATGTGGGATTTCCCGGACCAGGGCACAAACCCATGTCCCCTGCATCGGCAGGCAGACTCTCAACCACTGCGCCACTAGGGAAGCCCTCAAATTGTGTTTTTCGACTTTTGGTATTCCCTGTAATTTTTTCGTGATAGCTGGGCATGGTATATGGGATAAAAGGAATGCTGTAAATAGGGCTTTTCATAATGTAGTGGTGAGATGTAGGGGAGTGGGCAGTGTTCTGTACTCTGATGATTACATCTCAGTCTTTTACCAAGCTTTCCCTTCTGGACTGGGAACTACACAAGTGTTTTTTCAGTATTTTTTTTCTCCCCTCTTTGATGCAACAGGATGGCTATAGTGGGCTGGAGTTGGGTATTTCCCTTCTATCACATGTAAGGCTAGAGCTGACTGGAGTTGGGTATTTCCTTTCCACCAGGTCATTTAGGCTGTGGTTAAGTACTTTTTCCAGAGGGCAGACCTTGTTAAGAACAGAGTGCTCTGGTGTGTTTCAAAATGATACCTTTTCCCCTCCCAGGCAGGAAGCACAAGGGGATTTTATCTTTTTAATTTACTGTGAGAACTTGATTGAGCTCCTGAGGGAGAATCTCACAAAATTGGGTCCCCCATCTCCCCACACCCACCAATGACAGGGTCCTTGTAGAGTTTCTAACTCACTGACTTGTGCACACCGAGTGTCAGCACATCGATACATTTTCCTTTTCTGGCACTGGTTCTGTGGTGGTTTCCACTCCTGAGCCTTAGCTCCAGTAAGCCGTGACTCCCTGTGTTCACCTGTCTCTCCAACCTTGGGGACAGCAGTTGGCCTTCTGTCCTCACTTCTGTTACAGATCCTAGAAGAGCTGTTAACTTTTCAGTCAGTTCAGCTTTTTACTTGTTAGGATGGAGAGGCGACTTCCAAGCTCCTTACCTGTGGAACTAGAGTCAGAAGTGGCTCTTCATTTTTTTAATGTCAAAATTGTTGCTACATCAAAATTCTTCTCTGATTTTCATTCAGTCTGTATTTCTTCTTTTCATGCCATAAATAAAATGGTAATTTTATTATGAATATGAGCACATTTTACCCTATATTATAGCTATGTATCTTCTGTTTATGATTTATTTTCTTTACTACAGTGTGTACTCCTGGGGAGACCCTGCCTCAAAATCATTTTTGTACCTCTCCCTAATGATGCCAAAACACTGTGACTTGCATATAGTTAATTTCAATAAATATTTTCTTCTTGTGGAACAAATGAAAATTTTAAACAGATACATGTAACGTCTCAGACTTGACTGAAAATCATCAGAATTTTGAAATCGAGAGATATCAACATTTCATGTAAAAGGAGAACAGGAGTTTATTTAATGACAAACCCAAGAAACCTCCAAAAAACTACAGGTTTTAAGGATGAACTGACATAAATATAATGTGCACAACAAGATTGGTAGCTATGGCACTGGATGTGTCTATAATCCTCATCCTGGGTGTTATAAATACTATAATAATACTATAATAAGAGTATCCAAACTCTTAGAACACTGGCACCTGAGAAAATATGATTAAAAGGATGAAGAGTGTGGAAACCATGTTCTTTGAAGAATGACTAATGGTATACAGCCTCAAGAAGGGAAAATGTGGGTGCTGAACTATGGAAGTGGGATAAGTTTATTCTTAACTGCTCTGTAATGCCCCAGATTTCTCAGCTATAAAACTGATACAATAATTGTATAATCCTCATAGAGTTGTTGTGAGAGTTAAGTCACTACATATTAAGCTCTTAAAATAGTTCCTGGCACATTGTAAACACTATAAAAATGTTAGCTACTATTACCATTATTATTCCTCCAAAGCATTGAACAAGGACCAATGATATACATAGACAGATTTTTCTTTGTATAAGAAAGTGCTTCATCATAATTAGAATTTTCCAACCTCTCAAAATAGTGAAACAGTTCACCTTTCAACTTAAATGCTTCTAGGTCAGAAACTTCGAGTATTTTAGTCTTGGGAAGAAGAACCTCCCAGACTCTATGTAGGGACTACTGATGAGCTGAATGCAGCTGTAACCATAAGTGACAAGGGCCTTGGAAAGTCACTAGTGAACACTCTGCATGTGTTTGCAAGATGGTCTGGAGCATTCCATGTTCCCCTCCCGGCACTGAGCTGCAATTACTTATGCTTTCAGTCATCAATGTCTTCATATTAATGAGTATGTTTTCATGGTGAGATTTATGACTATATGAACAGAACACTAAAATTAGGATTCTTTAGACATAACGAACAATGAGAGTATGGGTTTAAGAGAAAGCTAGAAGGAAAAAGTAAGGCATTGATAAGGTGTCTACTTCATGACTCTAAAATACACTCTAAAGTACACCTTTTTTATAGAGGCTAAGCAAAGGCATTAGTTGGAGAATATGCCATTGAAAGCATAATGTCCCTAATCTGCCTGGAGTTCTCTGATCATCCAGGAGATAGACAACTAGAGTACCTAACAGTGTTTTATTTCTACCTAGAAAA